ACGCCTGTGCTTACCTTGCTCCCGGAGACCCGGTCCCCCTCGGGAGGGTAACAAGGGAAAGTGTTCAGTGCAGATCAGTGAGTAAGCACCAGCCCGCCCGTGCTTACCTTGCTCCCGGAGACCCGGTCCCTCTCAGGAGGGTAACAAGGGAAAGTGTTTAGTGCAGATCAGTGAGTAAGCCCCAGCCCACCCGTGCTTACCTTGTATTCAGTTTACCAAATTTCAATTGCAAAATTAGATCATCACCTAGCATTAGTCCTAATGGAACCCACACATTGAGATATTAAGTAAGTCACAGGCTCTCAGAGTTTGATGGAATTTAAGAACCATTTCTCCTCTTGGTATTGAAATCCAAAGAGGTTAAGTGTCTTGGCCAGGATCACACAGTTTGTTGTAGAGCCTGGTTCTGTAACCCCTAGCCAAGGGCTTCTCCTATATTCTTACATGTGCCTGGCATGTGTATAGGTTTTATCAGTGTGGTAAAAAACCATTTGCTCCCAGCAGTGTTCCTCAAATCACGGGCATTGGGGTGCCTGAAATTTAGGTGGTCCATGAGATTATTTTAGGTGATACGTGGACCCAGCACTAAGCAATATTGATTCTACTAGTGAGAAACTTACTAGCTTTTCAACACTCTTAATCCTAACCACATGTAGGAGAAAGTCTCTGATCATGCTAACATGTCTTCAACACCTCCCTATCGTTTTGTAATCTCTCTTTTTAACAAAGATAGAGTAGACCTTAGGCTCAGAGCTGGTGTTAGGTTACCCAATAAGCAAGGTAAGCATGGGCCTCCTTGTGCTTACTTACTAATCTGTAGTGAACAATTTAACATTTTTTTTAATCACACCAGAGATTCTGCTTCTAAGTATGGTTAGCATGTGTCTCTCTCCTAACCCCATAGCACCTTCCTACAGAATCAAAGCCTCTTTTCTAATTTACAATCCCTGACAGGGATGGAGTAGCCAGTAAGTAAGGTAGCATGGGCTTACTTATGCTTACTTACCAATCTGTAATGCATAATAATAGATGTGTTAAAAACATGTGAAACTGCTTACTACATATTAATAGTAAACACAAGAAAGCCCACTCTTACCTTGCTTACTGGATAATCTGCCCATGTTTGGAGACTTCAGTAGGCTACAGATTCTAGCCTTATTGGTTTTCAATACATTCATTTTTATGGCAAGTCACCTTGGATCTGATCTATGGCAGTGATAAAAAAATTCCCTTTAAAATATTTAAAGTAAGTTAATGAGTCGGTAAAAATATGAAGAATTACTATTACAGGTAATAGGATTTGTTGATGTGGTATTAAATTGGGAGGATGATGTGTGAGTGAAATTTAGACCAAAACCAAAAGTGAAACCAGTTGCCATCAAGTGGATTCTAATTGATGACAATCCCATGTGAAGTTTAGACAGTGCTGGCTTGAAGAGAACAATGCATTGCTTCCAAATGAGTTCGGGGTTGAAAAGGACAGTGTGTCACCAGAGTGTGCTTTGGACTTTATTTTACAGTTGAAGCTGAGGCTCTGGCCTGACAATCAGAAAGACAGATGTAAAAGTTAATGCTTGTCATGCAAATGAGTTTCCAGAGGTAATAAACTCCAGAAGATTGCAACTAACACAATTAAAGTTTGGGATGCTGATGCCAAACATCACTTTCTTTTTCCCTAGTATGAATTCAGTGTGATTTTTGATACAAGCCACCTGTCTGGGGAAGAGGAAGTTCTTACATTCATCATTACAGCTCAGAGGTAAGGGATTTTTTTTTTTTTTTTTTTTTTTATAATTTTAAAGACTTTCCCCTGGTCCTGCTTTGATGATCACACAAGACTCTGAGGAGGAAGAAAAAGTTACTCAATAATAAAGCCTGCTGAGACTATGGCCCCTAGCTGCCCTTCAGGTCTGGAATTGAACCCACAACTGTGGTTTCCAGCCAAACAAAGTACAGGCATGTGAGTTAAACATTTACAAGTAGACACACGCCCTGGAGAGAACAATCATGGGAGAAGGAAGGGCTGCTTATGCACAGGGAGATAGCTCAGGGTGCAGAAGAGTATGAAGGGATGGACACTGGGAGGAGGTAACTATGGGGAGGAAGTGGGAGGGGAGCTGCTGCATTGTAAATTTTGGTCAATGACATGAGACAAAGTATATGTGAACTGCTGTATGAAAAGTGAATTTACTCTGTAAATCTTCACCCAAATCCTAAAAAAAAAAAAAAAGAATAATAAAGCCTGGACCATTGTGTAGAATCAGATCTTTAGGGACTATGGTTGTCTTTCTCTGGTTGCATAAACCAATGCTTCAGACTGAGCTGGGAGGGAATAGGAATCATGCAGTTGGCCCATCTCCTTATGATTGTATAGCCAAGAGAGATAAGCCTCACCTGAGAGTGGGGAGTCTCATCCAGGGTCACATGGCCAGTTAGTTCTGCTTTGCCATATGTTTCCTAGATCATACAAATATCCACAGTGGGTGGGGGAGGTACTATCAGCCTGAGGCCCAGCCAGGACTGTTGGCAGAGGCCCCTCTAAAGACGCTTCTCAAAGGAGGGCTTGTCCTGGAAGCCGAGTGGACACACAGTCAGGGAAGGGGCAGGACAGCAGCTACATCTCCCTTCAGAGTATATACCTGCCCATGTTCAGTTTGGCTGTGAGTGCTTGGGAGGGCCTCTGGGCAGTTATGAGATACCTCCTCAAGCCAGAATCCATGACTTCTAAGTAGCGCTTGGATGACAGCTGAAATGAAGAGAGAGGCACTAAGGTGACTGAATACAACCCAAAACCCATTGCCGTGGAGTCAGTGCCAATTCATAGCGATCTTATAGGACAGAGGAGAACTGCCCCACAGGGTTTCCAAGGCTGTAAATGTACAGAAGCAGATTGCCACATCTTTCTCCCACAGAGCTGCTGGTGGGTTGAAACCCCTAACCTTTTGTTTACCAGCTGAGCCTTAACCAAGGCACCATCAGCGCTCCTTATGGTGATTGAATAGGAAGATGATGGTGTTGTCCCCCACACGTTACAGAGTGGGACTGCCCCATGAGGTTTTCTTGACTGCGATCTTTATAGAAGCAAATTGTCAGGCCTTTCTTCCATGGAGCCACTGGGTGAATTTGAACCGCCAAAGTTTGGGTTAACTGTAGTGCTCAAACCATCTTACAGCACCACCTGGGCTCCTGAACAGAAAAGTAAACGCTTTGATTGGAATGGTGTTTTGATACCCAAGGCAACCTTTTTACTTAAATTTTTATTTGGAAATAATAATTCCTATGACTGCTAACCAGAAGGTTGGCAGTTCAGACCCACCAGCCACTCCGTGGAAGAAAGACTGGATGATCTACTTCTGTAAAGATTTACCGCCTCAGAAACCCAAAGGGGGGTCGCTATGAGTCGGAATCCACTCATGGCAGTGAGTTGTTTTTTTTATATTGATAGACTCTAGAAGGGCTTCACCAGGGAGGTGGTATTTAAAAAGAGCCTTACCTGAGGAGTCTGTTTGCAATCTGAAGGAACATAGCAATAGTACAGCAGTGACAATATGCATGGTACAGCCTACTCTGTTACACCCATGAGGGTAGTGGGCGCAGTAGTGAATTGGAGAATCCTAAGCCACCTCAGGAAGAAGGGGAACACACAAGGACAATAGAAGATAAGGCTTAAAGAAAAGACTGGGCTTGGCCGGGGGGACAAGGTACCTTCAGAAGTCTGAACTATACTCCAAAGGCAGTGGGGAGCCACTGACACAATGCAACACTCTGACCACAGACTGCAGAGCACAACAGAGACTGTTGAATTTAATAAGAGGAGGCAGATGCCTGTTCAGACCTGAAAATTCTCATTCTCCTGCTGTTTCTTGGATCCACAGAAAGATCACCATTGCCAGGAAGATTCATTAATGTGCTCTCTTGGTCTCACAACACTTGGGGCAGCCAGTGTTTCTCCTCAAAGGGTAGAAACTCTAACTGCCTTCCAAGACCATTCAGGGCTAATCGAGTGTCAGAGAGGAAGCAGGAGCTGAAAAGGGTGAAAGCTTCATTTGTTAAAACAAGATGTCCACAGACCTATGGTTCTCTGGTCTTGGAGGTACACTGGAATCACCTGGGGAACTTTAAGAACTAGTGATGCTAGCTGTCACTACCCCCCCCCACCTGCCCCACCCAGAGATTCTGACTGTATTGTTTTAGAGTAAGACCACTCACTGAGATTTTTTAAAAAGGCTTATCGAGTGATTCTAATGAGCAATCAACACTGAGAATCACTATCTACAATTCCTTTCAAATTTACATTTACATTTTCACTCAATAAACATCTGTTAACCAGAACTAGTTGCCATCAAGTTGATTTGAAATCATAGTGACCCCATCCATGTGTTCCAGCATAGAACTATGCTCCATAGGATTTTCAATTACTTTGATCTTTCAAAAAGAGATGTCTAGGTCTTTCTTCTGAGGAGTCCCTGGGTGGATTTGAAACACTGACCTTTCAGTTAGTAGTTAAGTGTACCACACAGGGACTCCAAACATCTCTTAACTACAGACTCTCTACCAGACACAGTGCTAAGTATGAGGCATGTGAGTAAATGCCAATAACTTACTAAATTCAAGAAAATCCTCTTAATGTACTTTAATATTGCCCTATAGATCATCAGGGATGCCTAGTATTTGTAGTTTAAATAATTAAATTTCAGAATCTTCTAATTCCTTGAATCACCAATGTCAAGGAAGCTGTGTTATCTGTTAAACATGCAGCAGAATGCTTCAGGCACTCATTTTCTTTCTAAGCTGTGACAAAAATCTAGTCTCATTGACAGAATGTATGTGAATGGCTATATGGAAAATGAATTTGCTCTGCTGTAAACTTTCACCCAAATCACAATAAAGATTTAAAAAAAAAAATCCCACTGCTCCAAAGGACACCCACAGCACTTGACTCCCTGCTATGATGGGAAGATCCCTAAAGCTCATTATCTTGAAAGCTACAGTTAAATATCAATCGTCCCTTTCTTCCTGTCACCACCCTTTGAAGGTCTCTTGCCTACTTGTGGAGTTAGGGAGACATAAAGTTGACACTAAACAGTTGCACATGAACTAGCCTCTCCAGCCTGGCTTTGCAGAGCATGGGAAAGCCTCCCAGCTCATGAGTGTGCAGAATGACAGGGAGCCTTCTGATGCTTGGCCTCTTTATCTCTCTTTTCAGCTTAGTTCAGTCTGAAGTCACCCCGATGACAGATGACACTGTTGGGCCTGGGCTGCCAGCAGTCACAGGTGGCTGGACAAATGGAAGGGCAAAAGGTGGCTCTTCCATCAGGAACCAATTACTCAGACCTGGCAGGATGCTGGCTGTGGGGATGGATGCAGTCAGGGTAGTGCCATCCCAATGGTAGGGGAGTTGCCTCTAGCCTGAGCAGGCCTGAGTCTTGCCTATAGTAGTAATTCTATGGCTTTTGTTGCCCCCGGGAACGGAAGAGCAAGGAAGTTTTGTTGTGTGAGCACCTGTTCCCTCTGCTGCCTCTGCAAACTGTGGCTGCCCCTTGTGTGATCAATGTCACCCAATGTGCGGAAGGCAGATGCAGAGCTCGGACAGAGGGGCCGGGTTGGGTCAGAGTTACGGAACACCATTGTTTCAGGACAATAGGAGAGAATGGGAGGTGTGAGTGCTGTTTAAGTATTGTGGCCATTCAGCACTTGCTGGGATGGAGAGGAAGGCAGTGGGGTGGGGCTTAGAAGGGGCTGAGGGAGGGCGCTGAGCAGACGAGGACTCAGCAGATGTTCAGGGAAGGCTATGGGAGGTGTGGTTAGCATAAGTCTGTTCAAACCTCAGTGGGTCTGGTGGACTCTCAGATTCTACCCCAGGAGGACCAACTTGGCTCTTGGCTGGGATTCACCAACCCTAAGTGCCAGTTTCAGCAATAGGCACTGACATCCCAAATGCTTGTCAGGGGCACCAGGAAGAGTTCACAATGAGTTGCTTTCCTTTTCCTGGAATAATAATCACAACTGATATTTAAAATTTATTAAAGGTTGTCGTTGTTGTCATTAGGAGTAGTTAGGTCCTGTTGAGTCTGACCCTATGTATAACAGAATGAAACACTGACCAGTCCTGCACTATCCTGACAATCTTTGCTGTGCTTAAGCCCATGATTGTAGCCACTGTGTCTATCCATCTCATTGAGAGTCTTCCTCTTTTTCACTGACTCTCCACTTTACCAAGCATGATATCCTTCTCCAGGAAATGGTCCCTTCTGACAACATGACCAAAGTAGATGAGACAAAGTCTGGCCATTCTCGCTTCCAAGGAACATTTTGGCTGTACTTCCTCTAGGACAGATTTGTTAGTTCTTTTAGCAGTCCATGGTCCTTTCAGCATTCTTCACCAATACCACAACTCAAAAGCATCAATTCTTCCTTGGTCCTGCTTATTCATTGTGGTGGTGGTGGCAATAAAATAATAAAAGAGAAATTAGTTTCTCTCTCTTCCTTTCTATGTATATGCATCTATCTCTCTGTATGTGTGTGTCTCCCTCTTTCTTCCTTTGCCTACTCCCAGTCTTTCAGGGAAACAAATCACAGTGGAAGGAGCCCTGGTTTGGTGGAGCTGGGTTGGAATCTGAGCTCTGTCAGGCTTGTGGTGGGGCCTGGGGGCAAGTTACTTAACATGTCAAAGTGCTCCTCACCTGTCAAAGGTAGGGGTATTCCCCTCCTTCCTGGGGTTACGCTGATGACTCAGTGAGACAGTGCTGTGAAATCCATAGAATATATATAGTAGCTACTCAACAACATCAGCATGTTTGCATTCACCTTTCTAGAATGATCTCACAAAATCTGCACTCCATGCTTTCTCCCAAGAGTGGTACCTGGATATGCTACAGCTAGGAGTCTGTAGTGAGAGCTTCTCTGCTATCTATCAGGACAGAGTTGGCTTGGTTCTCTGTGAATGATGAGTGATGCCTCAGGGTGGGTATAGCTGCTAAAGTCCAGCAAACACCTTCCTAACTTAGAGCACTGTCCTCCCCAGTCCATTTCTCTACAGAACAGCATTTATAGAAATAGCACAGTCTGTCAATGCCCATCCAGCATCCTTAGCACTCAGCATTCCTATGTGCCTACTGCACAGCTTCTGAGACACACATACACAGAGACAGACACACACACACAGAAAGGAAGAGAGAGAACCTAATTTCTCTTTTCTTCCTAGTACTTACCACTCTGCTGAGGTTTTCTCTGGCCAGAGCTCACCCATGTGTGAGCATAGGGCAGGGCAGACATGCCAAGGAATTAATGCCCCTACTACCACCACCACCACCAGCAGCTGCTCTCAGGAGTTAGTGAATAAAGGCCTGCTCCCATGCTTTCTACTGGGATCATTCTGAGGGGTGTGTCCCAGCAAGGCTGAGTTGCAGTTGCCCACAGCACTAACCTCCTAGCTTTGTTGTTGTTGTCAGCTGCCATCAAGTCAACCCTCAACTCATGGTGACCCGTGCACAATGGAACGAAACACTGCCAGTCCTACACCATCCCCGTGATGAGTTATAGATCAGAATGTTGTAATTTATGTAGTTTTCATTGGCTGATTTTCAGAAGCAGATCACCAGGTCTTTCTTCCTAGTCTGTCTTAGTTAGAAGCTTTGCTGAAACCTGCTCAGCAACATACAAGCATCCACTGTCAGATGAGTGGTGGCTATGCATAAGGTGTATTGACCAGAAATTAAACCCAGGTCTCTTCATGGAAAGCAAGCATTGTACCACTGAACCACTGATGTCCCCAAAATCCCTTTATTGTATTCTTTCTTCTTCACTTCTCCATTTCCCTCCTGGTGTTTTATGGGGTCACCACCTAAATAAACTGCTTACACTCATGTCTCTGTGAGCAAAAGACAATGAAGTCTCTCTTGTGGCTGTGTTTAGGGACCAACAATGGAGCTGGGAATAAGGAAGGGGCAGAGACTGCTCTCAGAATGTAGAGATTTGCTTTGATGTTGAGCAAAGAAAGCCTGCTGTTGGGTAGAGAGCTAGTGCTGGCCAGTGCTCATTTGCTCTCTTCCCTGGCAGTGGCAACGTGGAGCGCTCAGAGTCCCTGCATGACAACATCCTCTCGCTGACAGTGCCGCTGATGCACGAAGTGGACACGTCCATCACCGGGTGAGTAGCCCATTCCTCGGTTGCTAGAATTCAGGGGTGCCCTCCAGTGGAAACCTGTGCTTTTCTTGTATTTGCCTATGTAGCCAGGAGTCAGTGCCCTGACACCTCCCCTCTTCCCAGCCGTGAAAAGGAGGATGAAGCTTTAGCTGTAGTGACTTGCACCCTTCTCCCTCCTTGTTTGTTCCTCTTTCCCAGCTCCCCATCCCCCCGGTGGGTAACATGAGGAGTGTGGTGACACGTGTAAGTCCTGTAAGTCTTTGAACATTGTGCATGCTTTTATATGCATGCATCCCACCACCCACTCCACCAGAATGCCATATGGTAGCAGGCACCATGGTTTCTGGGATTAAAATCTCAGTCAAAAGCTGTTGGGCCAGAGGTTACAGCCAGATGTGCCTCACTCTCTGGCTCACGGGAGGGCTTGCCTTGCTGATTGGCTTCACAGTCAGACAGTTAGCACTGGCTTGCACTACATGTTTCTGTTAACCCCTACAGCAGAGGCAAAGCCAGCCCTGCATAAAATCTGTGCTGTCTCAAGTGGGCAAGGAGCAGCCACCACAGCCAGACCATCTGCCTTGGTCAGGTCCTTGACCACTCAGGGCTGCTGGTGTGGTTGGAAAGCAGCACCGGCAGCCTGCAGGGACCTAAAACAACCGCTTCGATTTTCAGCCAAAGCCCAAGCCTGGAAAAATGAGAACTTACTTCCTGTTTCCGGCTTCAGAAAACAGAGCACATACCTTTTTGATAGTGGAAAAAGGATTTGCACAATTAGTTCAGATCAAATGAGGACCCATTGAACCCTGGCCCCAAAGGCAAGCTGAACTTTCTAGAGGTTCAGCATTTCTCATTTTTCAGTTTTTTCAAGTGCTTCTGGGTCCTGGCCTTGGCCAGCCATGGAAATGTTAATAATACATGGCAGGAAGAGCCCGCCCTGCAATGGCTTGTGCTCTGTGGGAGCCAGCAGCCTGGGTCTGGGCGTTCCTGCTCCTAAAGTCTTTGCATTTTTCATCATGTTCTTCAGACATGAGGCCCTGGTGAATGTATTTGTATATTAGCGTATATTTGCCTCTGTTCACAGCTCTATTTTTAACCATATAGTTTATTTGCCTCATTGGAGGCACAGTGAAAATATGTTCTGAAACAAGTCCTATCCTTGGGGACAAAAAAGAAAAACACCGGCCAACTTGATCATGTTGCCAGTCCTTGGGAGGGAGACCTCACTGTGAGGTGTTAACAGCCCCTGATGAAGCCATCAGTTAAACAAACGAGTCAGCCTTGGATCCTCCAGGAACCTCAAACTGAGGGCGAGATTCAGTGAACCAGTTCCTGCTAGAACCTCACTGTTGTGGTTACCTAGTGATGCTCTGACAAGAATATACCACAAACGGAATGGCCTTAACAAACAGGAGTTTATTCTTACAATTTGGAGGCTTTAAGTCCAAGTTCAAAGTGCCAGACTCAAGGGGCTGGGTGAAAGCCCCTCAACCTTGGGGTCCAGCTCTGCTTCCTGCTCCCGGCCCACTGGAGCTAGAGGCATTTCTTCACTCAAACAGCTGCTGGCTGCTTAGGCTCAGAAGCTCCAAGGTTGACAAGTAAAAAGGCACAGTCCCGATGTTACCAAACCACATGGCAGGCCATTAACTCAAGTCCATTGTAAGTCCCAAGGTCGACAGAGCATAGCAGGCTGCTGAGCAACGACATGGCTACATGCAGGGTCCAAGCGTGCCAAGGCTAGAGACCATCCCCAAAGGCTTCTCCTTAAATACAGGAAGCAGACCACATTCCGAAAGGCAGCTACTCAGCTGCTTGTGATAGATCCTACCATGGAGCTGATTGCCAGTCTCTTCATGGGGATTAACTACCACCAGCTGCCCAGCCACTCAAGCAGGCCCAGCCAAGTTGACACACAAACTTAACTACTACACTCACTATGTTTCTAAAGTAATGCACTTAAATCAAAAAGAGATGAATTGCTGGCCATTCAGACTTGGCACCAATATCTTACGTGGTTGCATTGAGGCAAGTGAGTGGCTTCTAGGATCTCCTCTAAAATCAGTTATTTATCTAGCATTTGAATGAGTTGAGCTTTGTCTCATCCCGTTGGGTTTGTTCATACAGGCAACTTTGAAAGTGTTGCTACGCACCAATCTTTAATTCTTAATCACCTCTAATGTATCCACTGGAGTCCCTGGGTAGTGCAAACAATTAACACACTGGGCTGTTAACCAAAATGTTGGAGGTTCGAGTCTACCCAGGCGTACCTCACAAGAAAGTCCTGGCAATCTACCACTGAAAAAATCAGGCATTGAAAACCTTATGGAGCACAGTTCTACTCTGACACACATGGGGTTGCCATGAGACAGAGTCAACTCCATGGCAACTGGTTTGTGTTTCCACTATTTGAAATCTGAAGAAAAACACTATCATTGAACTGACTCAATTCTTAATTAACTAATTTTAGTAACCTTGGAAGAATGACAAAATTAAATTTTCTTTAAATGAATTTGTCACAGAGTGAGATTTAGAATGCCAAATATATAATTCACATGTACTTATTTATTAAAATATTGCTATAATCTTCCTTAATTAACAGAATGTTTTTCAGCTGAGAAAACAGAAAACATATAATTTTGTAATCCAGTTAAAAAGAAAAAAAAATGGAAGCTACCATTGTCATCTTCCTCATTATAGAGATGTAAGCCCAGCACATATGTGTAAATGTAGTTTACTGATTTGGCCTAAAGTGAGAAGACGTTGATGGAAGTCTGTTTAGCAGGCACAGATCTGCTATGACCACTTAAAGGGACCACTTCCTGCATAGAAGGCATTTGAGAGGTTTGATTCCCAATCAGTGACCCTCGTGCGTAACCACCACCCATCTATCAGTGGAGGCATGTGGTGGAACATGCTGGAGGGACCCAGGTTCAGTATTAATTAGACACAGCTGTTGGGGTTCTCAGGACAGCAGGGACAGTGGGTGCTTGGCCATGGATTGGGATGACAATGTCATGCTTTCCTCTTTCAGAGTCATGTCTCCAACCTCCTTTGTGTATGGCGAGTCTGTGGATGCATCCAGCTTTATTCAGCTGGAAGACCTGGAGTGTCATTTCCAGCCCCTCAACGTCACCTTTCAGGTATCCACCTGAGACCTTCTCTGTCATTGGGGGCCAGTGGAAAGGCCCACAGGATGCGTCTCCTTCTAGAAAGGCAGCTTATGGGCTTGGATCTTGCCAGGAGAAATCCTTCTCACCCTGGCTGTCTGGAATGCAGTATGTGTGTATGTCTGTGTGTTCTATAACCAATTGATCCGCTCAATTGGTCCCCTCCCTGTCTGGTCTTCTTCTCTATGGACACCTCTGCTTTTCAAGACCTGGAAGGAAAACTGATGAACACCAGCTTTCCCCAGGAGACCCAGGATGGCTGAGGCCTAGGCCAGCATCCCAGCCTATATGACTCCACAGGACCCCTTTCTGTTCTCAGTCATTCTTCACATTATGGTCGGGGCAGCCTCTGAGGACTTCCTGCATTTCCTTCCTCCTGGTGTTCTCCATGCCACCTCACCCCAGGACCACTCCTTTCTCAGGGGGATGGCCTTTCAATAGTGTGGTTTTACAAAAGCAAAGCAGTATGAGCCTATGGAAACCACAAGAGACAGCTTCCCAGTCACATGGCATCATTTCCAGCAGGTCCACTCAGTGTGGACTGTGGATTGGTCAGGACACTGTTTCTTCTCTAAACCAGAGGTCAGCAGACTTCTTTGGAGAAGGGCCAGAGAGTAAATATTTTAAGCTGTGTAATTCATATGGTTTCCATAGCATGTTTTTATGGCATGAAAACAGCCATAGACAATACATAAACAAAACTTTATAAATATATTATATACAATGTATATGTACAATTTTAGCTATAATTTTATTATATACTATTATTTACTTGGGAGCTCTGGTGGCATAGTGCCTAAGGCACTTGACTGCTAACTAGAAGGCTGGCGGTCCAAACCCACCAGCCACTCCTCAGAAGGAAAATCAGGCAACCTACTTCTGTAGAGATACTGTCTCAGAAACCCAAGGAGGGATTGCTGTGAGTTGGATCCAACTTGATGGCAGTGAATTTGGCTTTTTTTTTTATTTACTTACAGACACTGAAATTTGAATTTCATAAATGTTTCATGTATCATGAAATACTATTTATTTTATTTTTTTCCCCAACCATTTAAAAGTGTAAAACCATTCTTAGCTGTATGTGGGCCATATGGAAATAGCCACAGGCCAGATTTGGTCTGCAGGCCAGTTTGCTGACCCCTGCTCTAATGGGTGAATTCTCAAGTCAGTGTGTTCAGTGTGTGAATCTTTAGGTGTAAAGTTAGAGGGCTCTCAGTATCACCCTATCTGTTCCCCTCAATGGACAAACACAGGGAAACATAGGCCCAAGCTGGGAAGAATATGCCAAAGGTCCTGGGTGATGCAATGGTTAATGCTCTCAACTGCTATTCAAAAGGTTGGAACTTCGATACCACCCAGAAGCACCTCGAAAAAAGGCCTGGTGATCTATTTCCAAATAATCAGTCCTTGAAAGCCCTATGGAAACAGTTCTACTCTGACACACATGGGTCCCCAGGAGTTGGAATCAACTCAACAGCAACTGGTTTGATTTTGGTAAGGTCCCAGAGCTGTGATAGGCAAACCTGGGACTAGGACACCCCTGTGTGGCCCAACACTTTTCCAGGAGTTGCAGGTGAAGTAAAGGAGAGGAGATGGGCCTTCGTCACCCACAGTGCATCATAGCCTGGAGGCCCATAGCTCAGCACTTCTAACTCCCAGTGCTCTTCCCTGCTCCATACCATCCCTCCTCCTGGTGAGGATGGTACCCAGTCTGGCATTCACTGCTGAGGCCAAATAATTATTACTTACTTTCTATGCTGCTTCTTCTAGGTAGATCTAGAGAATGACAAATAATGACAGGGTGAGGGTCAAAAGAATGGGCAGTAAAACATTTGTGGGCTCTTGCAAACAATGGTCTTCCTCTCTCTAGAGTGTTCTTCTGGGCAGGAGCCCTCCAAATCCATGATGGATAACAGATGTCCCTAGCTCAGAGAGGATGCACCTCCCGATGAGCTAAGCCCCAGCTGTCACACTCTGCCCTTGATTTACAGGACAGTGAGGGAAAGATGGGGTTAGAACTTGCTTCTGTGATTAGAGTGATCACTGTGAATAGGACTGTGTTTCTGAATTGCTTCTCCATTGCTTTTTGTAATTGAATGGAAAGATAAAGACCAGATGGATTTATTTCATTTTAATTGTTCATACTCTTAATACTTTTATAAAATCTTTGAGGTGTTTTGCAATAAAAGATATAGTCAAGAAAATAAGTTAAAAGAGTTCAAGTGATACAGATCACACATGAAGAGGGTGTGGACGTTGAAAGGAGAAAGCAGTTACACAGAAGATGCAGAAATGTCCTTATCACTCTCCAAAGACAGAAAAAGAAATCTGAGCGCATGTGGTTAAGTCATGTGTCTCTGAAGACATTTTACAAGGAGATTAAAGTTTGGTATTCCAGGCAAATAGCTCTCCTCACATCTGACCTGAAATAGGATACAGTCTAGAGAATCCAGGCCCAGGGGAGTGAATGAGTGGCATGCGCCTTAGATAAACTTGATTATCAAGTGCCTGAGGAAGTACATAGCATTCAGTTCAGGGTTAACAGAATTGGCTGGGTCTGAAAGATTGATAGTATGTGTCATTGGTTAGAAGGAGACTCTTCTGTGTTAGCAAAAGACAGTTTCCTTGAGAATTCTCTGATAGCTCATTTTTTGGTATCATTCTCATTATCATGATCATCCTGCAGGAAGGTCCCTGACCAGGTTGGTGATGGTAATGATGGATGTGGAGATGGTGGGGAAGAATGGGATCAGGAAAATGAATAGAGCTCATCTGTATTTACTTTTTCCAGCAACATCACTCCTGAAGCAGAACACAAGACTTCCCATAGAAAGAGATTTTTCTGTGCCTTTTTTTTTTTTCTGTCTCTCTTAAAAGCTATCATTCAACAAGTTATGTACGTTTTTAAAGACTCCACTGAAAATGCAGATAGGAGAATGGCAGAAATACTAGCTTCTGGATAGTTTTCTACATTTCATCATAGTTTTCTTAACACACAATAACTTGACCATTTATTGATGAAGTTTGTTTTGCATTAAAAGTCAAAGCATTTCCCTACCTAAAAATTAAGGTCAAAAAATAATGTAAATTCTGCACAGAACATTTTCAGGAGATAAAGTGTTAAGACATTAAAAAAAAAAAAAAAGTGAAAATGGTAATATAAGCTTTCCCATCTGTCTGGCTCTGATGAGCTAACTTCTATAAGTCAAAATCACTTTCTTTTTTGCTTACCCCATTCATGCTTTAATTGGGATTTCCCAGACATGTCAGGAGGTTTCTTTTCAATTTTAGGCTCTCATGTTTCACTTCTCATTAGTTATTTCAATTGTAGTTGGATACTCCTTCCTTTTCTTGTGCCTTTGGGTTGTTGTTCTTGGTGAATTTTGTCCTTGTAAAATCAAGAGTTGGCAACATCCATGTATCTGCATTATCATTTTTTTGTTTATTGTGTGGTGGAGAACCAATTACTGCAAGAAAATGAAGACAGTTTTCTAGGGACAAGCCAGCTGGGCTAGATATGTGTACATTCTGTCACTCTGTATGAAGACCTGGTTAGCATTTCCAGCACCTCCCCTGCCTTTGCCCTTCTGACCTCAATTTCAGAGAAGCCTTGAGTCCTGGAGTCCCTGAGTTCTCTCTCTAGGCCCCAGGCCACAGAGCAGACTTTCATTTCTTCCTGGCTCCTGGTCCTGCCCATCTTTTTCTTATAACATTTTATTGAAATATCATTTACATATCTTAAAGTTCACCCATTTAAAGTACAATGGAATAATTTTTAAAATATTTACAAAATGGTACAGCTATCACATCATTTAATTTTAGAACATGTTCACCACCCTAAAGAGAAACCACATGCCGTTAACACTCACTCCCTGTTCAGTTTCCTATTACTGCTGTAACATATTACCACAAACTTAGTATTTTAAAACAACACAGATTTATTAATTTACAGTTCATTGGGCCTCCTTTCTGGAGGCTGTAGGGAAGAATTTGTTTTCTTGCCTTTCCAGCTTCTAGTTGTTGTTGTTGTTATGTGTCGTCAAGTCAGACCTGACTCATAGCGACCCCTCCTTGGGTTTCCGAGGCAGTATCACTACGGAAGTAGATTGCCCCATCTTCCTTCCAAGGAGTGGCTGGTGGGTTTGAACCACCAGCCTTCTGGTTAGCAGTCAAGTGCCTTAGGCACTAGGCTACCAGAGGCTGCCCATATTCCTTGGCTCCTCACCCCCTACCATCTTCAAAGCCAGCAATCACCAGTCGAGTCTTTCTCACAATGCCATCTCTCTGCTCTGACTTTTGCCACCCTCTTCCTCATTTAAAACCTCTGTGATTTCTTAGAGGCCACCTGGATAATTCAGGATAATCCCCTTAAGGTCAGGTGATTAGCAACCTTAATTACTTTTGAAAGTTTAATTTCCCCTTGCCATGTGTTCTAAAATGTTCACAGGTTCTAGGGATTTGGATGCGGATATCTTTTTTTTGGGGGGGTGGGAAGCGGGGAGACAGTGTTTATGTAATGTTTTGCCTACCACATCCCCATTATTCCCAGCCCTAGGCAACCACTAATCTCCTTTTTGTCTCTGTAGATCTACTTGTCTTTTTTATTCTCTTTCATATTCCATTTCTTCCTTGAGGTTCATGTTCAGCCTTTGCTCCCATCTCCTCTCTCTTATTGGTCTCTGTGGTCATTAACTTTTCCTCTCATTTCTCAGGAGGTGATTGGTTTGTGGAAATAAAGAATAGAAAGTATGGTAGGGGAGATAAGAATGATTAAGCTTTAAAGAACCAAAAGCTGGGAGAGTAAAGAGGTACACAGATGTCATCGATAAGTATTAGTAAGGGATATTGCAGAAAAAACAAACAGCTGGACAGTGTGGTGAAAACAGCCCTTTCTTTAAGTTCAGTCACTTGGTTTGGGGACAACCCAGTTAGTCTTTGTGGATTTCAGTGACCTCAAAATGTAAAGGGAAGGGGTTGAACTAGATCAGGGGTTCTCAAAGTGCTATTCCTGAACCAGCACTATCAGTGTCTTGTTAGAACTTGTTGGAAATGCAAATCCTCCAGTCCCACCCAGATCTCCTGACTCAGAAACTGTGAGTGTGAGCCCTCCCTGCATCTGTTTTCATAAGCCCTCTAGGGAGCTCTGGTGGTGTAGTGCCTAAGGCATTTGACTGCTAACCAGAAGTCTGACAGTTCAAACCCATCAGCCACTCCCTGGAAGGAAGGTTGGGCAATCTACTTCTGTAGTGATACCACCTTGGAAACCCAAGGAGGGGTCGCCAAGAGTCGGATCTGACACCACAGCAATGGTTGTGTTTTGTGTTTAGATGATTCTAATGTGTATTAAAGTTTGAGAAGCCCTGGGCTAGATTATATCTTAGTTCTTACCAAGTATAATAGTTTGTTGAGTAAATTTTTTGGTATATGAAAAAAACATAATTTTTAGTAGGAATAAGATGAAGACATGCTAAAATGGAATAATATAATGTTAAAGTTTGGTTATGTTTTTTGTTTTCAATGCATGTTAGAAGGATTCCTATTTCTTTTTGAAAGCCCAATCATCATTTGATGTATTTCACTTCAGTTCAAATTACGACCTTGTAGGTCACAAACACCAGAGTTCCTGTGCATCATTTCAAGAATCTTAGAGTATGGTTGCCAGGGGTGGGAGGGGAGGGAACACTGCAAAAAAAAAAAAAAAAAAAAAAAAAAGGCATTGACCCATGTCATTTTAGTTTTGTATATTTCACTATACATAAAAATGCATTAAAAAAAAAAAAAGAATCTTAGAGTGTAACTTGCATAAAGGTCTGTTACTTGCGTTCAGATTGCTGTCTGTGCTTCACACCCACAGGTGTACAACACTGGGCCAAGCACCCTCCCGGGGTCGTCTATCAGCATCTCTTTCCCCAATCGACTGTCCTCTGCGGGTGCAGAGATGTTTCATGTCCAGGAGATGGTGGTGAGTTCTCAGTCTGTTTTCACTGTTGCTTTCAGACTTGACCAGCCCATTAACATATTGTATCCACCTCACCTTGGACCTCCACCCTGAGGGCCTGGAATCTATATCTCATCTACCCTTTGGAAACGTACCTAGAGAAGTTAGGATACCTGTGACAATATGAATTCCTACATTGAGACAGTTTGATTAATGCTATAAGAAGACCTCTTTTGGGAGGGGGAAAGGGTTCGTTATGAACCTGAATCCTAGGACAGACTTCACTGGCTCTGGGAAGCCACAGAGGTTGTCTGCAGTTTCGCATGTGTCTGCGTGCATTTTTCTGAGAAGATCCACAGCATTTGTAATGATTCTCAAAGGGCCACAGATGCTAGAGGATGAATAATTGGTCTGAAGACATAAATGTACATTGAAAGTTGGATATATGTGCAGAGTATCCTATCTGATCCTGAGTCAACTGTAGATGATTTTTGGGGTAATAATTCCAATGAAAGATTTATTTCTTCTAATCAAAGATGCGTAACAGCTGTTGTCTAGGGGACCACCCAGATAAACTGCTAAGTGGGCAAAGATCAAATAATTATTTACATGGGTTACAAATGACTGTTTTTTAAAACAGTAAAAATTACAACCTAGAGAAAGAAAGACACATCTTACCGCTAACATTTCAGAAAAGCAAGATTTAACAACACAACACCTTGAAAATCAAAACATATTTGAATTTGAGAACAAGAATTTGATGTTAACATATTATACACTACTTTACAAAATTAGAATTTCTATGTAAGGATTATATTTGTAACTGTTGTTGTTAGGTGCCATCAAGTCGGCTCTGGCTCATAGTGACCCTGTGTACAACAGAATGAAACAGTGCCCGGTGGTGCTCCGTCCTCACAATCCTTGCTATACCTGAGCCCATTGTTGGCAGCCACTGTCAGTCTGTCTCATTGAGGGTCTTCCTCTTTTTCTCTGATCCCGCACTCTACCAAGCATGATATCCTTCTCCAGGAAATGGTGCCTTCTGACAACATGACAGAAGTAGGTGAGACAACAAAGTAGGTGAACAAAGTCTGGCCATTCTTGTTTCCAAGGAGCACTCCAGCTGCACTTCTTCTAAGACAGATTTGTTTGTTCTTCTGGCAGTCAATGGTACTTTCAGTATTGTTCACCAGCACCACAACTCAAAAGCATCAACTCTTCTTCAGTCTTCCTTATTCATTGTCCAGCTTTCACATGCATATGAGGTGATTGAAAATACCATGGCTTGGGTAAGGTGCACCTTAGTCTTCAATTTGACGTCTCTGCTTTTCAGCATTTAAAGAGGTCTTTTGCAGCAGATTTTCCCAGTGCAATATGACATCTGCTTTCTTTCTTTGTTTTTTTTTTATTGTGATTGTATGAAAGTTTACAGAGCAAATTCACTTTCCATACAGCAGTTCATCACATGTTGTCTCATGACATTGACTACAATTCACCCCAATGCAACAACTCCCCTCCCACTTCCTCCCAATGGTTACCTCTTGCCTGTGTCCATCCCTCCATGCACTCCTGCCCCCTGAGCTGTCTCCCTGTCCACAAACAGCCCTTCTTTCTCCCATAATTGTTCTCTCCAAGGAATGTATGTACCTCAGGTACATGTTCAACTCATATACCTGTCTTTTGTTTGGCTGGAAGCCACAGGTGTGGGTTCCATTCTAGACCTGAAGGGCACTTAGGGACCATAGTCTCAGTGGATCTACCAGGCTCTATCGGACCAGCAAACCTGGTCCCCTTCCCCACCCCTCCCAAATGATTTTGAGTTTTGTTCCACATTGTTCTCCCTCTCTATCCAGGATCTCCTACATAGATTCCCCTCTGAGTGATTGACAGTGGTAGCCGGGCACCATCTATTTCTTCTGGTCTCATAGTCATATAGGCTGAGGATCACATGGTGTACCAGTCGCAAGGACTAATTGCTTCCATGAATCTTTGGTTTTCTTCCTTCTTCTTTGCTCTGAATGAGGAGAGACCCATTGTTGCATCTAGATCCCAATCACTGTTTCCCAAAGGAGGAGGTAGAACAATGTTTTGGCTAGTATGTTATGGCATCTGCTTTCTTGACTGCTGCTTCCAGGAGTGTTGATTGTGGAACCAAGTAAAATGAAACCTTTGACAACTTCAATCTTTTCTTCATTTATCATGAGGTTGCTTATTGGTCCAGTTGTGAGGATTTTTAGTTTCTTTATGTTGAAGTGTAATCAATACTGAAGACTGTAGTCTTTAATCTCCAGCAGTAAGTGCTTCAAGTCATCTTCACTTTCAGCAAGCAAGGTTGTGTCATGTGCATATCACTTGTTTGTTGAGTCTTCCTCCAATCCTGATGCCCTGTTCTTCTTCATATAGTCCAGCTTCTCAGGTTATTTGCTCAGCATACAAATTGAGTAAACATGGTGAAAGGATACAAACCTGACGCACACCCTTCCTGATTTTAAACCATACAGTATCCCCTTATTCTATTTGAACAGCCTCCTGGTCTATGTGCAGCTTCCTCATGAACACAGTTAAGTGTTCTGGAATTCCCATTCTTCTCCATGTTATCTATAATTTGTCATGATCCACACAGTGAGTAAGTGCCTCCAACATGACATCCATTTGTTGAAACATTTCAATGGGTATTCCCTCGATTTCCGGAGCCTTGTTTTTTTGCCAATTCCTTCAGTGTAGCTTCGAATTCTTCCTTCCATATCATTAATTCTTGATCATATGCCACCTCCTGAAATAGATGAACATCAACCAATTTATTTTTGTGTAGTGATTCTGTGTATTCCTTCCATCTTTCGATGTTTCCTGCATCATTTGATATTTTGCCCATAGAGTCTTTCAGTTATTGCAACTCGAGGTTTAAATTTTTTTCTTCAGTTCTTTCAGCTTGAGAAATGACTAGCATATTCCTCCCTTTTGGTTTTCTAACTCCAGGTCTTCATACATTTCACTATAATAATTTACTTTTTCTTCTCAAGCTGCTCTTTGAAACCTTCTGTTCATCTCTTTTAGCTTGTCGTTTCTTCCATTTGCTTTAGCTACTCTCTGTTCAAAAGCAAGTTTCAGAATCTCTTCTGACTTCTATTTTGGTCTTTTCTTCCTTTCCTGTGTTTTTTTAAAGACCTTTTGCTTTCTTCATAGATGGTGTTCTTGATGTTATTCCACAATTTCTCCAGTTTTCAGTCACTGGTGGTCAGTGAGTCAAATCTGTTCTTCAGATCTATAAATTCACGTGGGATATAATCAAGGTCATAGTTGGGCTCTCATGAATTTGTTTTAATTGTCTCCAGCTTCAACTTGAACTTGAATATGAATAATTGATTGTTCCACAGTCAGCTCCTGACATTGTTTTGGCTGAAGTTACTGAGTTTCTTCATCATCTCTTTCCAAAGATGTAATAGATCTCATTCCTGTGTATTCCATTTCCCAAGGTCCATGTGTATAGCCACTGTTTATGTTGTTGAAAAAAGGTATTTGCAATGAATAAGTTGTTGGTCTTAGTTTGGCTGTCATGAATGTGTTCCATGTGATTTCCCATGCTACTTCTATCACCAACGCCATATTTTCCAACTACAGGTGATTCTTGTTGTTTTCAACTTCTGCAGTCCAGTCACTAGTAATAATAAGTACATCTTGATTGCCTGTTTGGTCAATTTCAGACTGCAGAAGTTGGTAAAAATCTTCCATTTCCTCATCTTTAGCTTTGGTGGTTGGTGCGTAAATTTGAATAATAGTAGTATTAACTGGTCTTCCTTGTAGGCATATGGATATTATCCTATCACTAACAGCATTATACTTCAGCTTACATCTTGAAACATTCTTGTGACAATGAATGCCACACCATTCCTCTTCAATTGGTCATTCCCAACATAGTAGATTATAAGATTGTCTGATTCAAAATGGCCAGAACCAGTCCATTTCAGCTCACTAATGCCTAGGATATTGATCTTCATGTGCTCCATTTCATTTTTGACAGCTTCCAATTTTCCTAGATTCATACTCCATACATTATGTGTTCCGATTACTAATGGATGTTTGCAGCTGTTTCTTCCATTTTGAGTCATGCCCTATCAGCATGTGGAGGTCCCAAAACCTTTACTCCATCCACATCGTTAAGGGCGACTCTACTTTTAGGAGGTAGCTCTTCCCCAGTCGTATTTTGAGTGCCTTCCAACCTGAGGGGCTCATCTTCTGGCACTATATAAGACAGTGTTTCAGGGCCATTCTTATAGTTTTCTAGTATTATATTGGACATTGTTTCACTGCTGTTCATAAGGTTTTCACCAGCCAATTCTTTGAGTAATTGGTGGCTTCTTCCTTCTTTAGAGTCTGCCGTAGTCCGGAAGGTCTGTTGAAACCTGTCCACCATGGGTGACCCTGCTTGTATTTAAAATACTGTTGGCATAGCCTCCAGCTTCACAGCAACATGCAAGCTACCACAGTACAACAAGCTGATAGATAAGGGATGGATTTATAACTTTAGATTATTTTGTCTCAAGGAAGACTTGATAATTAACATATGATCATTCCCACCCTCTTCCTTGAAGCAGCGTCTTTCCCTGGCTTCCAGGACATGAGATTCCCCTGGTTTCTTCTTTCTCACTGTCTTTCCTACTCATATCCCCAACCTCTAGAAGGCTCAGGGCCTCCTTTTATCTTCATTTTCTCTCAGAGAGCTCACCCAGATTCATGGCTTTAAATTCAGTCTGGGCTGATGATATGAAAGGCCAATGTCCAGCTGAGACCTCTCCCATGAATTCCAGATCTCTCTGTAGACAGCTGCTTATAGACCATCTCCACCTGGATGCCTGGCAGATTTCTCGGCCTTATTCAAAACTGAACAACTGACAGTTTGCTATCAAACCTGCTTCTCTCATGATCTTCACCATCTCAGCAAATGTCTATTTCACCCTTCTAGTTGCTCAGGTCAAAACCTGTGTCTTTTGTCTTTCTGGACTCCTCTCTTTCTCCTACACTTCACA